GAAGAAATTCACCATGAAAAGTGTATACACAGTAATGCTTCAATCAACTACCTGAGTGTACGGAATGAAGAAATTCACCATGAAAAGTGTACACATAGTAATGCTTCGGTCAACTACTCGAGTGTATGGAATGAAGAAATTCACCATGATAAGCGTATACATAGTAATGCTTCGATCAACTACCTGAGTGTACGGAATGAAGAAATTCACCATGAAAAGTGTACACATAGTAATGCTTCGGTCAACTACTTGAGTGTACAGAATGAAGAAATTCACCATGAAAAGTGTATACATAGTAATGCTTCGATCAACTACCTGAGTGTACGGAATGAAGAAATTCACCATGAAATGTGTATACATAGTAATGCTTCGATCAACTACCTGAGTGTACGGAATGAAGAAATTCACCATGAAATGTGTATACATAGTAATGCTTCGATCAACTACCTGAGTGTACGTGTAATATTTCTTTGTCAGCCTCTTTACGAAAGAAAATTGAGAACAGTTGTCTTTGTTAAACCACACAAATTACCGAATAACGTATATTCTAGATGCGTTCATGATGTTTGCTTATTTATCCAGTGACTAAACAAATTAACAAAAGCTATGCCTGCTAAAGTAAGAGTTTTTACAAATTTGATTAAATATGGGTATTACAAACATTAATTGATACTAACGGTCATTTTCATCATCCGGTAGATAAGTGTACAACTTAGCTTGGTTTCATAACATATTTTTCTACCTTCACTTTATCCTACTGGTCATACCCGGCATAGCTCGTACGGATCCTTGCTCGAATATGCTGTAATACATAAGATATTATGAGCAATTAATGTGATCTTACTAGGCGACTTAAGATAAACGATTCATTAAAATATTCGTGTGGGATTTTGGATTAGTGTATCGGTTTTACAACCTCATAACCTGGAAAGTAGTTTGTTTGTTTGTTTGTTTTTAATTATGCACAAAGCTACACAAGGGCTATCTGTGCTCTGCCCACCACGGGTATCGAAACCCGGATTCTAGCGTTGTAAGTCCGCAGACATACCGCTGTGCCACTGGGGGGCTGGAAAGTAGTACACATTCAGTCACACAGGCGGGCAATTCAGATTCCAGATATCGCAAGAAGTTCAAATCTCTATTCAGAACTATGAAAAAAAAGAGTGCCCGAAAGCCTTCCTTGGAAATCAAGCCATCAAACTTGACTCGGGGACTGGACGTTAAAGAAATTAACCATGATGATGAGACTTAAGGCATTAATTAAAGCATTTGCCCTAGTAGTTGTATCCCATCGGTTTCATTTTTTACTACACCCAAAAATATTATATCAAAGGACAGTATGCTGCGCTTATAGAAAGGGGAAAAAAATATTCAATGACTTTCCTGCGCATCCAACAATATAACTTAATTCTGAGTTCAATAAGATAATATTATAGCATACTGAATCACCTTTCCTCTATTAAATTTACATTTGTGATCTTGTAACTTTCAGTTCCACCGGAAATTGACTTGAAAAGTTCTAGTGTAGATGAAATGGTGAGAGAAGGATCCAATGTTACCTTGTCTTGCTTGGCTAAAGGTTACCCGACTCCCAAACTCACGTGGCGAAGAGAGGACAGTCGTCCTATAAGTATCAAGGGACTTGATGGGAACGTACAACAAGGTAGGTGTTTTTCTCAAAATAGTGAAGTTTTATTGAACTGATGGAGTAACAAAAAAAGAGTAAAGTACGACAAACATATACACTGGTCAACAAAGAAGTTACATCATGAGGAGTATTAACGAAATGAACTATCTTATCACTGAAATTATTCAAAACTCCGCGGGAAATATAACCCTCTATTTAATGGAAACATTTGGAACTATTCTCTAAAAAAAAGAAGGTTCCATGATACTCAAAATTAATTCCCACTCGTACGTAACTGTTTTCACTTGTCATATAAAACCAACATACGTACCATAGAGCAAACGTTGTGAGGTGGGAAGTAAACTTCCATCTAATATATAAAACTAATATACGTACCATAGTGCAAACGTTGTGAGGTGGGAAGTAAACTTCAATCGAATATATAAAACCAACATACGTACCATAGAGCAAACGTTGTGAGGTGGGAAGTAAACTTCCATCTAATATATAAAACCAACATACGTACCATAGAGCAAACGTTATGAGGTGGGAAGTAAAGTTCCATCTAATATATAGAACCAACATACGTACCATAGAGCAAACGTTGTGAGGTGGGAAGTAAATTTCCATCTAAATTATTTTATAGAAGAAAGACCTGTATCAGCTACAAAATCCGAAGAACTATTAAGTTAACAGTAATGTATCAGAAATACTGGATCTGAAGCTAACAGTAACGTATCAGAAATACTGGATCTGGATATCAGTTTTTTCATGTTTCTACTTAAGCTTTAGTATCGCGCTCACAATCTACGCTATATTTTCAGAACTCATTTTAGCTACGTAGGTATAATATGAATGTGTTTCTCTCTCTCACTCTTTTTTTTAATTCTTCGTTTGACTTTTATGAGCATCTCCTTAATTCAACGTTTCATGTTTTCCTCCGTTTCACATGATCAGTTTCAGGTCCTTTAGACACTGACAGAATTGTAGAGTAGTAGCCGAAACGTTGTTCTGAAATCGGCTTAAAAGCGATATTTTTCACTTCATCAACTACAGTATTTAATTTTGTGTTTTTGCATATATCGTATCTAGTACTTTCATCAATAAAACTCTAAGCGAAGATAACATCACATTCTCTCGGGTTTCAAAATTAACTGTTTTCGCTTTCTTTTTTTCTTTTCTTTTTTCTAGCCAATTTAAATTTTTCAATTCTTTCTCTCCGTACTTGTTTAATAGAATTCTAAATTGCTTGAAGCGAGGAACCAAACTTAGAAGCTACTATAAATAAAAAGAGAGTCTTTATTTGTTTTAGTAATGTTTCTCTAACGGCCAATATAAAATAATCTAGCGTTGTACAAGTTTCCTATATGGTCCTGAAGGGGTTAATTACAACCGAAAACGCTTCAATATAAAGTAGCGAATTGAAAAAAATCGCTATATGAAACGGTAACTAACATAAAAAATGTTAAGGTCTTAATTAAACAATATTTGATTATTATCACCCAAGAGTGTGTTCAAGCACAATCAGAAGCAAAGGGAAAGATCCCACGTCTCTTGACGCAATATATACAGTCAAAATCGTTTTCAGGCGTTCCCTAATGCCGACCTCGGAGACTTGCCGTTTAGCTTAGAAGATAAGCGTTTTACTTTTAATGAATGATCATTAAGACAATTTTGAGTTTTTATTACCAGATAAAAGCGATACGATTCAATTCGTATTTCGTATTATGATTCTCTTGTCTGTCACAATACCTTCACGCTGCTAATTAAAAAAAAAATGTATTAGTTTCTCTGCGACTTTTTTTTTTTCGAATTTGTGAAATCACTTATTTAGCATCTATACTATTATTCTGCTTGTTTGTATGTACGACCGTTACGTTTTCTGACCGAGAACCCGCTGGGGCACTAAAATAATCCGATGGAATTGCTACTTGGACACGTGAAAGAACACATTTTTTGTCAGTTATGTTTATAATATGAAGGAAATCGGTGAAGTAGTTTTGAAGAAATATCATTTTTAATATATTTTTGTTGACCTGCAGGAA